ATGATTAACTTCTTTTCTCTGAAACACCATTTCTTGAAAGCCATCTGAAGAACTTTTCAGAAGATGTCTACAACTAGAAAGGAATCAATGCTTACATTAAGAAACTCGCCTTCTCCATTCTGCTCTTTAGCTGCTTTGCACATCCATTCTGCTTTGAGTGCTAATTTTGTAAATTAAGAATTCAAGGAGGCATCAGTAGTCCAACAGTTACACACCCCACACAGTCAGCTCTGGGGACATAAGAACTCACACTGATGTGCAGCCACCCAATTCCTCTCCCTTTGATTCGAAAGCTCCCTTAAGTATAAACTTTGACTGATTAGTCTTGAAGAATATCAGATCATTGAGTAAGAACTGAAATCATTATTGTTTTTATCAAGCACCATCAAATGAAAAAGGTCATTCAGAAGTCCTGTGTGATTTCATAAAGACATACATAATTTAGCTGCTTGAATTTCTTGTTAGTGAACGTAATTGCAGTATTTTAGTTTGCTTGCCACTTCTTAACTGAAAGCATTTTCATTCTTTATGAGGCACTCAGCAGGTGTACACATAAATTTGTGTCAACATCTGAATACAACTTACTGCTCATTTAACTCAAAAATTAAAAAAAAATGGGACCACGTCTCAAAAAATAAATAAATAAAATGAGAAGGCAGAGGAGTTGGAGCAGTGGCTTTCAAAGGAAAAAACCAGAAACAAAACAGGGAGGCTTTCTGAAATACTTTTTCCAAGCACTGTTGTTATAGGTGTTTCCTGAGGAAGTGACAGGCTTTTCCCTCTCCATCCCCCTCAAGTCTCACACCCTTCGGTTTTTGTTTTTTCTCTTTAAGCACAGAGTCTGAGAGGCACAAGCAAAGAACAGCAAGCAAGCACAGTGGACAGTTATTTAGATTTGTGCAATCAACCATGGGAAGAGAACCAGACTTTTTTAGTGCCAATTCGGTAAAGAAAAGCAGGGATTAAAGGTAGTCTTGTGCTTAATTTCAGGCAGGTGCTTCACTGAGCTACGGCCTCTAACCCACACAAAAGCATCAGTGCAATTAAATGCCATCTAGTTTCTTTATGACTGTGCTTCAGTGCAGCGCTCTTGCAACTGGAAGCCATCTGGCTGGGGATGGTTTTATGTTCTCTGATTTTAGAGCTCAGCGCACAGTGAGGACTCCAAGCCCTCCATTCCTCCAGCAGCTTGGTCCTCCCAGGGCAGTGCTGAATGAACACAAAATCCCAGTTATGAGCAGTCCTCACAGAAGGGGATACATGAGCCTTCATGTAAGGATAACTTTATAAATAGGCCACTGCCTATTGCCACTAACAGATCTAATTCTTGCTTCTCCACTCAAATTTGGAGATCTCAAAAACTGAAGACCTAAATAGAGAAGGTGACAAGCTCTACACCTGATCCTCAAATCCTGCAGTTCAGAGTAGAGAGATCTGGATTCCAAAGCCTCATGTAGATGTGCTGGTGCTGCTACAGGGATTTTATTGCTAAAAGACAAACAGAAGACACCCATCCTTGGTGCATACATGGATTCAGCCCTACAGTACAGCACCTTCCCACTGCAGCACGTCAGCTCAAAGACTATCGCATCTTACGCACTCAGACAACAGTTGCTTCTGTAGCACACACTGATCCAAGGCACAAGCAAAATGGTCCCTTAGGACTCTGGTGCTATTGCATTCTCAGCAGTCACTGCAAATCATTCACTCCTTTCCCCTTGTCTTCTTTCTCTTCAAAAACCAGTGTGGCCAATTACCTCCCTGCTTTTACAAACACCTCTCCTAGCCATTTGAAGTGGAATGCTCAGCAACGAGGCGTTACTTCTGTGACTAACAAGTTTCCAGGCTGCTAATCTAGAATTGCTGTTGGAAGGCAATATTTTACTCCCATTGGATTAACGTTCTTACACTCAACTATGCAAAGAGATTGAAACCAAATCTCGGATACCCTGAATGTCAAGAGCCCTGAGGAAAGCTACTGCAAGGTCCAGACTCTGGTCTTCATGCAGAGAAGATTTCAGCTAAACTCAGTCCAATTTATGCTCAGGTTGGATCCTACAGGATACAGGCCTTGGTGACAGCCTCGTGCATCATTCGAGGGCAGCTGCCCATGTAATTGATCAGATGAAAGCACCAACAGCATGCAGAAGTGCTAAACTGTAAATGGAGGCAGACGGCAAAGCTCTGCTCTCAGCGCAGACACACAAGCAGCTGGTGAAGTTGTCCTCTGGTTTTACATCCACACGCCTCCTTTCAGTTCAGCACAGCGACTCCTGATCAGTGCCAGCACCACTGAAAAAGCCAAGCCAGCAACCCCTACCTCAGCTGAGGTTGCCAGTTAATGAGAATAGGGGCAGCACATTTTGAGCAACAGACTTTCATGGGCTTTTCCCATTGTTCCTTAGCCAGCATTGATCAGAGAACTAAAAAGGGTTGCGCCAAGTTCTCAAAAGATTTTAGTGTGAGAATGCAGACCACATGTGCTGAATGGTAAACAGCTCTTGAGAATCAGAATAAAAAGATCTTTACAGTCCATGCAAACAAAAGTAAATGCCAGAATCTAAATGAAATGGAGCTTTCCAAAAGCCTGAGGCTACTAAGATGTCAGGGCTGAAAACGTAGCCTTGTTTCTTAGAAAGTCATAAAGAACATCCCATTATCTAGAGGTGGCCCTGTCCTGTTCCCAGCAAAGCACCAACGTCCTTTGATTCTCTTCACATTTCATCCCGTCTGAGACATGCCTGCTCCTATCAGATTTCTTGAACCTCCTATTAAGTGTCATTGATTACTTTGTAAGAGGGTAGCCAGCAAAGAAGGGAATACTGCCAGTGAAGTAAACACCATTTATTAACGAACAGAATAACATGGAATACAGCAAACCAGTTTAAGCCACACCATCCAAACAGTCCTAACACAGAGAAAGCTTTGAAATACTTTGTTTTCCTGTTTTAAAGATGCGCATGCAAATGAGAGCTGAATGAGAGGGAGAGTTATTGCACTGGGGGATCACAAGTCCCCAGAGACCCAAGTAAAAACACATGAGTTAGAAAGGACTGCAATTTAGCTGCTATAAAAAGACTGGTACTGCTGTATCCATGCTGGGTATTCAGAATAAAGACCCTCGGTCCTGCTTCAAATAGCCTCAGAAGCAGATCCTTTGAGGTCTGTGAAGCTTTGTGCAGGAGACTGCCTGGAGATTTAACCCACTTGGGAACCAAAGGCTCCTGCCGGGATAAATCCTCAAGAAAAAGTCCTAGTTGGCCCCAGGACACATTGCCTCTGTGGAGGCTGATGAATGCCTGCAGCTTTGAGGTTAGACAGCTTTTCGTTTGTTTAAACTAAGTTTTGGCTGCTGCAGCATAAACCTACTACTGCTCATGCAGTCCTCACAGGCTGTGCAGGACTGCTTCCTCCACTTCAGCACAACTGCTGGTGCAGCTGCCAGCAGCTGCTGCTCTGATTCTTCCAAGTGCACTTACTCCTTGCAGCTCTGCCAAGGGTTCCAGAGCACCACTGGCACGGAGCAGAATGAAACACACGGTTTCCCAGGCACCTCTCATCTCAACTCCTTTCTTCCCACCACTGCTCCCACTTTTTCCCTATCTCTGTTTTCCCCCAAGGCACAAACCAGTACCGCATCACTGATTTAAGTGAGGTTGCTCTGTTCATCCACAATGAGAAGGTCCAACCTGTGCAGCAAGGCTCTATCGCCATGGCAAAACAGGCTGTGAAAATTCCCTGAGGAAGTACGCAGTACCTCCACCAGAAGATCTGCTTTATGAGAGCAAGGACAGTTCAAATCAAAGGCAAGAGAGGGGCAAAGGATACTGAAAAATGTAATTTCACTAATAAGCCTTTAAAAGATAAGGTTGCTCGCAGGAGAGAGATTCCAGGTCCTCCAGCAGGGCTGGAGATGTTTTGAGATTAGAAGTGCTTTGACACTTGAAACTCGTCTCATCCCACCCCTCACAATCTATGCTGATACCATTTTGAGAATACAGAAAGACAGCCTGCATCACAGCCTCTGCCCCTTCTCTTTCACTCTCAATCTGTACCCAGACCAACTATGTTAGAGTTGACAAGTTAAGAAAGCTTGTTAAAGCAGCACCAAACCTTGAGTTCTTTAGTTAGCTCTTTTATGGCCCTACAGGTGAACAGGGAAAAAAAATAATATATATATATATACATGGTTCACATTGGGTCTCTTTTTTCCAAAGAAATTCTTTCCAGTGCTATTTTACAGGTTTACACATTCCTTCAATGAACAGAAACCTCATAGCAAAACAGGCGTTTAAAAAACATGCTAAGCTACCATGAAGTAAATTACTGACTTAACAGCCAGGCACCTACAGGCATAATTGGGTTTCATTTGAAGAACAAATTAAAGCAATATGCACATTAGCCTACAAGTTTGCAAGGGGCAGAAGGAGTCTGGAAACTTTCCAAAATGCAGAAGATTAGTAAAGCTCTAACAAAAAGTCCCACAGGAATCACACTAAAGAAGGACCATCTTCCAGGGATGGCCAGACCCACACATAACTGCATCTAGACCCACAGACCCATGCCTAACTACCTTGGCACTCAGGCTTCCACAAGACAGGCAGCACAAAGGCTGCATTTGAAATACAAACTGCAATGAGGGGGAAGAGATGGGTCAACAGGCACATGAATGGGACCTGATGGAGGCAGAGAAGGAAGCAGGGGATGAGTACTTAAGTGGATACTGCAGTGATTGGCTTCGAATTCCAAAGCACTTCACTGAAAAGTGCCTTTTGCTCTGAGTCCAGAGGCAGCCATAGTGGTTTCCCTCTCTTCCTCCAGTGTCAAGTCCAGCACTTCAGCACCTCGTAGGCCTTACTGCTGCCTGTATTACTAACAAATCCCAGTTAATGTGCCACCAAGATGAGGGTGGGATAACATCCCTGAACAATGGAAAAACATCCTGCCCCCCAAAAACAACAACCCACTCTCCAAAATACTCCATTGCAGTGACAGCATACCACAAGCCTCCTCAGATCCACAGCACTTACCGTTGGAGGAATGTTTGACTACAGCAAGTGACTTCAGGATGTCTCTTCATAAAAGAATGGAACCGGCTTCCTTGCTGGTTTGTCTCCTTCATCCAGACTTTCTCATGCCTGTCACCTCCTTCTGCCAAAGAGGAAAGAAAAGGATGAAAACAATTAAGTAGCTGAAAGAGAAAATAACTAACAGACACCAAGGGCTTGAAACTTAAAGCAAGGAAGTAATCTGTGGAAAGAAGAAGGCATTGAGAAAAGGCAAAATGGTAAAACAAACAAACAACAAAAAAAACCCACGTCCCCCACCAAAAAAAACCAAACCAACACAAAGCAAAACAAAAACAAACCAACAAACAGATGAAAGAAGTAGAGAGAAATAACGAAAGATAACGAGCAGTCTGTTATCAGCTGGTCTTGAATGTTCTCCTCCAGTTATTCCTAGGTTTTTCCTTCTCTCAAGCCTGTCTCTGGAAAAGCAGCTTCCCTTTAATCCTATTTCATTTTCGAACTCTCTACTTCTTCCCATTCACAAACAGGGCCAGAATTCATTGCTGTTTTCTCTCTTTCATCTGAGAAGGTAACTCAAAATCTTAGCACCCACCTCACTCAGACAAAGCACCTGGATTTTGGCTGTGCAGCCCAGACCTAGATAGGGCAGAGTGGCTGCAAGGCAATGCTTTTTTCTTGACAGTACAGTTCAGAGGCTCTATGGAGTCAAGGGACTCCTGCGACTTTGCTGAAGGGCACAGTCAGACCTTTGAAGAAGGGGAACAACTTGACATTAAATTCTGCTAGAGCAGTGTAGAAGGGTGGGTTGGCTGGTGTCAATTCAGAATATGAGACTGTAAAAATATTTGCCCTTGGTTCAACCTCATATACTTCATACAAAAGACTCTGTTTGAATAAAGGAATAGCCAGAGAGACATGAACTGAGAAGAGCCAAAAAACTCAAAGCAAAGCTCCAATTCTCTTTGTCCGGAAATCCAACTGTTTTTGGAAAGAAACAAAAACACAGTGGATGTAGACAAAGAAAGGGCAGGACAGATTTTTTGCTAAGGTTTCTCAGTTTTCCTTGATATTATTTAAGAAAGAGTGAGCAAATATTTTATACATAAAGAGTTCACAAGATGTGTTTTTTCCTCCTCAGTGAGGGAAGCAGTTTGACTCTCTGAGATCAGCCTTAGTTTCCTGGATGGATACAGTTGCAGTTTTTCACTAAAGTGCAGGGTAGAAAGAACCAGGAATTGGGCAATCTAGGTCTCACCCTGCCCCCAGGACAAACTTCTTCCTTTTGTGGCTCACAGTCAGTCAGGAGGGAACACGTCTTTGTTTCTGTAGCTGTTTGAGCTAGAATACCCTCAGCATCTTCCCTGACCTACCTTTGCCTCAAATGCTTTGAGGTGCACAGCACACTGAATGCCCGGGCCTTTAATCATATCTGATCCTGGAATGTCTGAAAATAAAGAAAGAGTTGATGGTTGAGAAGGGTGAACATGGTGCAAAGTTATCAGGATGAAGTCCCTCATTTAGGCTACATTACTTCCAGCACAGCACTCAGATAACCGCCTTGGCAGACGTCGCTTTTGGAGCTAGTGACCCAAACTGATCCTCTGAGAGACCTTTGAGCCAAAACACAACAATAAATACACCAGGTGATCAGTTTGGTGACAAAGTTTTCAGGGCAAGAGAAACCAGTACAGCAGCACTAAAGCACCAGTATGTAGGATATTCCACTTGACTGTTTTTTTCCAAACATACAAGAGAAGGTCCAGGCAGGCTTACCTGTGCCATACACTACCTCTTTCTCTTTAGGTATATTTAGCCAGATGGCAGGTATTTTATATTTAGAAAAACATTCATTCAGTAGGAAAACATTTCTGCAGGCAGGTTGACGTCAAGGGACTTGTTTTCTTTCTCCCTCTTCTGTGGGAGGAGAGTGCCTTGCACCAGACCCTGGAGCTGCTTGCAAGTAAGACCACATGAGAGGTGAGACTTGTGCTGCACAGCCACGGTGCTGATGGAGGATAGCAGCACAGCCAGCTCCCAAGAGACACCAATGCTTGGTACCAGCAGTCTGAGGAGGGAGGGTGAGACCTGCAGATACCATGCCTGGCGATGCAGATGGAACTTGGCTATGCACACAAGAAGCAGTTTCAAATTGTTGTAGCCATTTGTATATTTGTTTAAAAAGAAATAAACATCACTGAGAGGCGACGCTGGTTGTCAGCCTTCTAGCCTCCTAATGGGCTGAGAAAGGCAGTTAGACTGCTGCATTTAACACAGGTTTAACAAACTGAGAAGCATATTGCTAAGAGTCCTCTGAAGCACCAGCTCTACCAGACAACCTCAAACACTTCCTGCTCCATTCAGAAAGCAACAAAATGCTTGCAATTTGCTTTGGTTTGAACTGGGCTTTGAAACTAGTGACTAGGATAGGATGCACCACTCTTCTGCACAGTATCTATAGGAAGCAGCAGGGTAATTTATGAGAGAAGTGATTGGTCTTCAAAGAACATCTTTTCAGCAGAAATCCTTTTTTCTTCAAAGGAAAAATTGCCTTTGCAATTTGTGAACTTGCATTTATATATATAAAAAAATAAAACTACTGTTTATTTCACTCTCACCATGTCTACAGCATGAGATGTGTATGTATAAAGGCCAAACAAAAGCCCTCAACATTTTGGAAGAGATACTGTCTGAAGAGAACAGCTCTCAACCTCCCCACAACCTAAAGAGGGGTTGTAACAAGCTCTATGGAAGCAACCAGCAGGGGCTGGCCTCTCCTGGTCCAGGAAAGCAGGAGCAAACAGCATGCTGGCATCTGGAACAGAAATGAAACCTGTGGGGAACTCTGGCAGCAAGGAGTCCTCAGGGAAAACAAGCACAAGCAATTAGAAAAGCAGGACTGCAGTGCTGTCCCTGGAAGTTAGGGCCTTGCCCTGCTGGACTCACTATCCAGGCTCACGTCTCCCCTCTTCCTATAGCAACATTTCTGGGGCACCAAACTGCCTTGGAAGCAGTGGCTGATATTGTCCTGACCCAACACACTCTGAACGCTGTCACTACCAATAAACTGGGCACAACTCTGAGAAATGGGAGCAAATGATGCAGTCGATATGAGGCAAATGGTGCCTGTAGCCGGCAAGATCATGAATGCATCTGCTGTGGCCTCAGCATGCTGAAGAACACGAGCAGCTTGGGAGGTGTAATGCAGTGCTCCTGACACCATCTTCCCTTCCCTGTGTTCCCTGGAACGCTTCCCTCTTTACTTAAGGAAAGCTGCATCCTTACACAAAGTGCTTTCTGCTGAGTGCTAGGACAGTGAAAATGGATCACAAGCCTTGCTGGAATTAGTCCTAAGATGGGGACTGAACCATCCTGGAACACAGATGGGGTCAGGTCGGGTTTTTCCCTACAAACAGGAGAAGCCATGTGGTTTTTGTATAATTTGGAACATTTTCTTACAGAATGAAGATTGATTAGATGTCTGGAGTTCCCCAGAAACAATGTTGATAGTGTTAGCAGCCTGCACGCTACAAGAACCCATTCATAAAAATAAATAAATAAATTAAAATCCTCATTTATTATTATTTTTTTTTAACTTTATGTTCTTGGAAAAAGAAGCTTATTGGGTAACTATCAGAATTCCTCTTTCATCACCTTGTCATAAACCCCACAGGCTCTGAATTCCTTTAGCAATCTCTCAGTAAAATTGTGACCTGCCTATTCTAATAAATATACCTTTTTTACCCTAAAAACCTGGAAACAACCATGAAGTTGCACTCCTGGCCTTGCTCCTAGTTCTGCTAATTGAGACATCAAAGGAGATGAATAACTGAGGTTGTGACTGCACAACCCCTGCACATTATCCTCTTTCTCTAGACCATTTTCAAACAGGACAACTAACTTCTGTCAACGTAGATGTCCCTCTGAATTTTCAGCCATATAATTATCATTACTTCTATGAATGGTGAATCAGCTGCTGTGTGTCTCTCTGAGGCAGCTGTACCTCGGGGGCATGTGGTTGGTTCCTGGTTATATCTCATGCAAACTCTGACAGTCAGGTGAAATCTGCCATCCTAACTCGGTTCCACATCAAAGCCACGCTGTAGTTATAAGGAGCAAACTCCCCTCAGTCCCTCTGCACACAAAGGCTTTTCCACCTTCACAAGAGCACTGACAGGTAAGTCTGACACTTCAAACTGCAAAAGCATTCTAGAACCAAGATGGATGTAGATTAATGAAGAAACTGCCTCAAATTCATACACCATAAGATGCACTTAGAAATGGCCCCTGGCTGCTTGGGAAGCAGTGTCTCCTTAACTGCACTGGATTGGCATTTTGCTCTCTAACAGACAACGCCTTTGGGGTGAAACACTTACAGGACAGCTGCGGGCAAAAACATAAAGATACTCTTGCAGGCCACCAGCTTTTCCATGCTCTGGTACCTCTTTGTGTTTGAGCTGCCAGTCCTCCACAGCTTCTGCTCACATCATTTTTTGTAGCTGTTTGGAGCATCACGTGTATGCATGTAAAACAGAGCAAACAAGACGCATGAATTTGGTAGCTGCTGGGGAAGAACAAATCAATTTTTTGCTGGCATCAATTTCCTGCTGGTGAATAACCCCAGAGAAATTCCCTGGTACTCTGTCGCTCACATTCAGCCCAGCCTCTGAACAATGAAAATTCAGGAGAGATTGAAATGGGACCAGGTTTTCAATGAAAAGATGGCACCTAAAAGATACATTTCAATCCTCTATGCACTGGACACATTATTATGTTTAGGATATTATGCTGATCCTAAAAAGAGTTTTCAGATTTGCTCGCAAAGGGGACAGGTCCAGTGACCCAGTGCCATCCTCAGCCTCCAGTGATGCACACCTACTGTGGAGACAGCAAGTTTGCTGGGGGTCCACGTCCTGAAGCAAGAGCTCAGACATCTGTAGTTAGCTTGGAGCACCACAGCTTCTCTCCACAGCTTCCTGGCAGGCTCTAACTTGGAGGACAGGGAGGGAAAGAGGAAATTTGAAAACACCCTTTCCTCTTTCAGAGGAGTGTGCTGCAAACAGCTCTGCCTGCCAGCTCTTGTGGCGTAGTTGCCAGGCAGTAGTACTGCTCTGCAGTCCAGGATCAACAAACTACACGTTTGCATTCTCACTAGAGCCAGCATTATTACTGCCACAACTTAACACCCTTAAACAGAGACTGCCACAGCTGCGAGAGCTGCCTTGGGAATGGGGACAACTGCAGCAACAAGCTGATGGAGGAAACAGAAGAATGGCTGCTGTGAAACTTGTGGATGAAGCAAGCGCTTCCTTTCCTGTTAGGTGTGAAGAACAAAATACCCAGCAGTCGGATGGACCAACCTCGCTGGTTGGTGACCTGACCACAGCCAACAACTGCTGTGACTGCACCCTGCTCCAGCAGGATCCTGCCACCTGCACTGTGCCCATCCACCAGGCTGTCAGTGCTAGCAAGCCCACTGCCCTTCTGACTAACGGCCTCTACTTTTCTCCATCTCTCGTCAACATCTTGTTTTTCACTGCCTTCATGTGCTGATATTGTATATCCACCTGTTCTTCACTCTGCGCTCCCTAATTTCACATGTCAAACAAGCTCCTTCTCCTTAGCAATTGCCATTTTGAGAAGAACTGCCTCACAGAGACCTACTGATCCTGGGGAGGGTCCATAGAGCCAAAATGTCTGTAATTTTCTCCACATCCAGTTTTCCAACTGAGCTAAAGATGCATTAGACCATGACGATTTGCATAAATGTAAATCCATTACAATTAGACTACTAAATATACATCATGTAAATAAGGACTGGTGTTCGTTTTGAGTCCCAGAAATGCTGCAGAAAATGTGGCCATACAAATAAGTAGGCAGTTACTTGAGCTCAGCTTCAGGGATTCATCAGCAAGCAAGAAGTGACAGCCTATTAAGCACTTGTGGCAGGAGAAATTAATTGAAATGCTGGAAACATTTTGCTTTTTCTGCTCAAAGGTTGGACTCAGGCTGTTACAGACAGCTGGAACAGGCTTTAGATGGGGTTTAAGCGTAATAATTGCAAGATAAGACTCACTATCAGTATTTGTAGAGCAATCCCTTTATGGTGTGTAGCAAGAGGAATGGGTAGAGTGAATGAGATGATAACGATTCATCGCAGCCAAGGTTTTTTTTTTTCCTCATTCTGACTCCTGCCAACCTCTCAGACCATGGGCAGGATAAAATAACGAAAAGCGCTGCTCTGAGCAGTTCTTCTCTCGTGGGACAATACCTTTCACTGGTCTGCAGAACTACTATTGCAGTCAAACTGCACCATGAAGGGACTTCTCCTTTTCCTATACCTCAGGATGACAATGTTACATATTTCAGGAGCTATTACTGCTGAAAAAACTTTCTGAACAAAAACCAGATAATCTCCTGAGACATTTTCAGTCTGTAGTTGATGATTCAAAGGGAAATAATGAATAAAGAACTCTAAACTTTTAGGCTGTAGAATGCTCTCTGCCTCCTTGTTTATTACAGAGAAAAGAAAAAGATAACCAGCCAGAGAGATGGCCAAATCCCTTCATCACCCTCTCTCTGACAAGCTCATACCTTCGGACCATCATGGTGGCTGAAAAGCTGTGGATGGCTTGAAATCAGGATTTATTTTTAGGTTTCCAGACTGTGCATGTTCCTGCCAAAAAGAGCCTGGTCCAAAGTTTATTCAAGTCCGTGATAAAAATGTCTAATGGCGTGAATGACCTTTGGATCAGCTCCAAAGAGCGTGCACTGATATTAGCAGTGGGGCTGGCTGGGGATTCCCTTTGGGAAGGCTGCCCAGTAAAGAGGTGGTTTTCACAAAACTGAAATTTTCGAGGAGAAAAACATCCTGATTTTGAACTCCATTTCCTTTTCAGAATAAAGAAATAAAAATACACTTCTTCTTTTCTTTCAATTAAGGAAAGTCAAGAAGCAGTATTTTCTTCAGGACCACTTGGAACAAAATCAGAAAACTATGTTTTAGTCTGAATGTGTTCAATAAACCATTAAAACCTCATTTCCCTGTAAGTATCCCCAGTGCCGCCTCACAGGGGTTGTGGTTTAGATGTCTCATATTTCCTTGAGGACTTCTTCCTCCATAATGCAAAGTGGACTCTGTCAAGTCTGTGCGAAATGATAGCAACTGCATACTGTCCCCTGAGAAATACAGTCAACAAATTCCTGGAAGAGAGTGGCCCAGTTTTGAGTAGCCACTTCCCTGGATGGAACACATCTCTAGGGCTTTGAAAGCTCTCTAGAAGCTAATTTGACCTTCATTGAACAACTGTCTTCCCTGGAGTTATCTGTACTTCAGATAAGGGAGGCCAGAATCATATATAGTCACCGCCCAGTTGACAGGCAGTAAATGGTATGTGGAGCAAGCACTGGGAAAATCACCTTTTGATCTCATTGAAGGTGGTCCTCAAACCAGGTCATGCTTGAGAGAACTGGCAAGGAGACCGAGGAGAGGCTGGGCTGCAGCTGTCTACGCAGGGACAGTCTGCTGTTTAACAGAATATTTGTCTTTTCTTGCTGCCAATTTCGGAGCCTTTATAAATACCACACCTACATAAAATGGAATCAAATAAACGATTCTCTTTAGGAACCCCACACCCTTCCTTCACCCTCCCTAAGAACTTCTCAACATCCAAGGGCTGCAGAGAGATGCAAAGGGAATTGCTGTTAAAAATTACCCATCTGGGCAGGAGAACAATTTATGCTGGACCTGAGGCAAGGCTGAAGTTCCATTTCCTACTGAGAGTCAAGTGAAAAATGTTATCCCAGGGCCTGCTGTGCAGTCATGGCAACTTCCGCAGCGTAGCTCGAAACCTGCACAGATGCAGTCAGGACATGGGACACAGCCTCTCTTCAGCCCCTCCTCCATATCTTGCCCTGCAGTGAATTCTTCACAAGCATCCCATCACATCCTCCCCACCAAGTCTGTCTCCTGTTGCACAAGGCTGTTTTGCCATGAAGTGCAAAGCTTCATTTGTTGATTATTTGGCAAGATGCCTTCGTGCTTGTGAATGGATCTGGGGCTCAGCACAGGACTATTCCATGGAAGTCTTATACTCAAAGACCCATATTCACCAAATCCAGCAGGTCAAAAGAACTCTTCATATCTAGCCACCTGGTTTGCTCGGACAGAGATGGGATTGAACGTACAAGCAACGCTAATTAGCTCTGAATCAAATGTTCAGAACACAACTCCTGGGAGAGGATAATGCCACACACCTTCAAACCGGACCGCGCAATTTATAAAAGTCAGCTCTGGAATACACACTACAGTGTGGGATTTACAGCACCCTTTTATTATTATTATTGTTATTATTTTCCTTCTTACCTGGGGACTGAATGTTTGGGGACCGTGGAAGGAGAGGGCTTTACATCTGGAAAGCGTCAGATTTAACGCCCAAAGTCACCAGCCCAGGTCAGCTAAAAGTACATGTTTGCTTCCAGCAGCAGCTGTGCAAACTCCTGTTGCCTCGGTTGTGCAGGGTTTATGTAAAGACTCCTCAAAGACAGTGCCCTCTTTGTGAGCCTGGAGCTCTGCTGATCCCTGGCAATTCCAACCCTACTTTCAAAAGAAATGGGCCTAAAATGGCATTCCCACCGCAAACAGATGTGTTTCAGCCTCTGTCTAAGGCAGCATTCATTTCATCATGTAAATGAAAACATCATAATTTAGGGTCACACGTCTCCTGCCTGTCAGGCAGGCACTGCCAGCTATTTTTACAGCATCCCAGGGTGTTGTGGCAGTTTAGAGAACAAGTGACACTCCTTTCCAAAGGCCGTTCAGAATGACACCACTCAGTGAGAAGCTCTGAGCTCTAAGCCTTCATTTTGTCCTTGACTTTTTTTCTGACCAGAAAATATCTGTGTGTATTGCATATTGTACCATGAGAGCAAGCTCTCTTCACACTAGAAGCGAACAGCTCAACATACATACTCTGTAAGATAAGCCAAGTTTAATTCACTGACTTCAGTAGCTTTTGATTGCTTCTGTTTTACACTGAGATCGAATCTGGCCAATTTATTTAACCTAATCAACAAAATTCTAATTATAAACAGTGCAGTAAAAATACTGAGCATCAGAAAGAGGCACAAAAACCACTACAGAAAACAATCTGAAGCATCCTTGCCTTGTAGCCAAATATTATATCTGCAATGCAAACAAAACACCTCCATATTTACAGCTTAGTGGGCGTTTTGATCACATAATAGCTTTAGGGTTCAAACCACCGTTCATTAAAGTCAACAAGAATCTTTGCACTGACTTTAATGAGCTCTGAGTCAATACTGGAACATACAGCATTTTACTAAGAATTCAAAGTGGAAAAAAGCCCCACCTCTGGTAAAACCCTCACCTTGGTCTTTCTGAAAGCTGAATGCTGGGAAGGACCACGCTCCTCTTGCTGTGCGGTTTCGGCCTCCACGGGTAAAATGCCCTGCTGAGCCCCTCCTGGTGGTGCCAGAACTCCTCGTGCTGAAAAGTCTGCTGGCAGATTTCATTACAATAATTGCCCCAGAGTTAATATTGCATTGTAGAAAAAGAGGGGAGGAAAATGCAAGGGAACAAAGTCCAGATGATCAATCATCCTTTTTTTACTGACACTGCCTGTATGTGGGTTGTTTTCACTGGAAATATACACCTAATAATTGGTCAGGTTCCTTGTTTTTTCAACATCATTTCTATGGTAAATGCCATTAGTTACCGTGCCACAGTGATTTAAAGCTGAAAACCTACTGTGACCCAAACCAAAAGATAGATTAACTTATCTGCTTTTACAAGGAGTTGCTTGAAGCCTCACAGGAAATATTGTATGAACTTAAATTTCACATGGCCAGTAATTACTTCTCCTGTTATTTTTCTATTAAAGAAATACAAAAGGAAATGGGGACTGGGTACATCGTGGGGGCTGAGTTGTAGTGCTTTTATTCTACAGGTCATCAATTCAGGGTAATTTAGCTGATGACTCCAGAGATCTCAGCCCAGCTGCTGGTGGACAGGTGACTACACTTCCTCATCAACCTTTGCTAAATTCTTGAAAGCAATTAAGTAAACTTAGAGGACTTTGGCTAACCAGTGTAGCCCAAGCTTGTGTCATGTATGGGGCTGTTGTTTCAGACTGCTAAGCAGCTGGATACATGGTCAGACACTGACTAGTAGTGCTAAAGTCAGCCCCTCTGAGCACCACAGAGGGTTTGTGTTTGGTTATTACAGAAATCAAAGGAGGCTGAATAGAACCCCAGTGGCACAGGGTTATTCCCGGATTGCCATGAAGGAGGTACGTGTGTGAGATATATGCTAAGAGCCTGCTGATAAGGATAAAAAAGAGGGAAAATAGATTTTCAGCTCAATGACTGGTAAGAATGATTCTGGAGATTGCTGAGTTCCAGGATCTATGGACTGATATCTCCAAGAAGGTTCAATTAATAGCTTCTATTTTTTTATTAGGATAGATGCTGAGATCCTGAAACAACTGGCTGTTGGTAGTATTTTAGCTAAGACATGGGAACCAAAGACTTTTAACTTGAAAAGTTCCCTAGGACAGTGAATTCTGACTTTTTTTTTTCTTTCCATTTGTGGACTCTCAGCAATGATGCAGCTTCTGTACAGTGAATTTAACTTGACTATAGATTTGCTTTTCTTGGTTTCCTTCCACAAGTGACAAGTTGACAGCTACTGGTCTTGGAAGAAGATGGCCTTCCAATCCTCAGGCCACCATATGGTGCACAAATCATTTCTTTTATGTCATACCTTATTTAGAGCTGCAGGAAATAGAGGTAATAGATGAATGGGGCCATCTCTCCTACTGTCCATCACATGTCACTGTGCAACGACCTGTTTTCAACATGCCATGTCTCAACAGGCAACTTGAGAGCTGTGGCTGTCCTTCCAAGCTTTATAAACGTGCCAGATGGGGTGGATACCTGGAGAAGAAATGAGCCACTGACTGTGAGACATTAGAAGAGGGATAACATGTCATAAATCAAAGAGACACAACACTACTCCAATAGACTAGCCAAAAATGTGAACTACAGGAATTCTTACAGTAACTTCTGTTGAGTCAAGAATTTAATCTGTAAGCTGCTCAGTGAGGATTTACATTTCCCCTCTGGTCCTGCACTCTTTAAAAAAATCTGAGGAAGATGTTTTTTCTTGGGCTGTGTTATCCTCACTGTTATCCAGGCTTCACTAAAAAAATAAAAATAAAAAAAAAGCCACCAGAAAATCAAAACCAACATTTGGTTTTTGACTTTTCTTTTAAATTCATAAATTCACTAGGGTACTTATCTGATGATGCTCTGAATAAAAGTGTCCTACCTAGAACTATATTTTTCCCTTCCTAGTCACAAAATTAAGTAGGACAGGGACACAGGGTACATCTATAAATCAGGGGGTGTAAACATAGCAGCAGAGTGCCACCCCAGTTCCCACTGTGAATGGAAGAGTAACTGAAGGAAAACACATTAGACCTCTTAACAGCTTATGCTTCTCCACGTGACCTTTCCTCTCTGACTTTCTTATTAGGTCTCCTATTCTGCTCCATGGATGGAAAAGGAGACAGCTAGATCACACACTACACCCAAAAGAGGCAGAGAACAGTACAGAGGCTTTTCCCTTCCCTTTCTTCCTCTGCAAAGTGGTTTCTTCAAATGAACAGAACAAGATAATTTGGATCAGAGACTGGCACCTCTCTGCTAGCTGAGGTGTCAGTTGAGCCCTGCATTCACTTTTTGGCTACAGATTTCACCATACCCAGCACCAAGTGCAGACAAAATCTGAATGCTCCACTTTGCACCATGAAATGACACAGTCTCACTCCTATTCTGCAATCAGTACTGGAGCCAAGAGGCATCTGGTTCTATGGGACATCCTGCCATAGCCTCCCAAACAGCCTTTTTGTCCTCTACTGGCTCCTAGCAAAGCTTCAGTTCTTTGCTTTTGATGCTTCACTTGCTCAAATCCCACCGCAGTCCGGTGCTAGAACAGGCCCACTGGGCCTCAGAGTGCTCCCTGCAGGCGGGCAGAAGGGCCACGTAAAAATCAAATCCACATGACTGTATTTATAGGCAACCAAAGAGAGGGCTGCTATTCCAAGAAAAACTTTTCCATGTAAAGGAATTCCTAATCTCCCTTTTGACTGTCACTGTTGAAATGACGGCTTCTCAGGCTTGAAATTTAAGACGCTATCAGCATCTATTCTGTTAGCTGTGATTTAGGAATGGTTTTGCTGTTGATTATCTCCCAAGATTACAGCATAGCAGCCCTGACAGACAAGCAGAGGAAATTTTACAGGATAACGGGCAGGTCCTTTGCCAGGGCAGTGAGGCAGGGAAGTGTTTTGACTCAAGTGTGTAGCAGCATCAGCAAATGCTGACTGGAGTCAACAGGCAATTGAGCAGATTACAGGTAGTGCCCTTCTCAAAGGTCAGCAGGGTCAGCAGAAGCTTTTATGGTGACTTTTTCACAGCTTTGGACCCTTTGCTCATTCTGTAATACAACCTTCAGTTACTTTGTTTGCCTTGGTTGTGGCAATGACTGCACTTTGTGCAGTAACAAACGAAAAGTTCCATTTGCTGCGTGTTACTCTGTGCATGTCCTTTAGAGATCATCCTTCCTGACCGCAGTAGCAAAGTCTACTGCTGGGAGATAAACTACCTTTATGTCAAGCCCAAAATATTCAAAGAAAATTTTCTACCTTTGATTTACTGCCAAGAACAGCCATTCCTGAACCCAAAAAAACAGTTTTTGTGGCTTTGGCATTCATTTCTTGCTAGACAGTTTCTTCCAGGTCACTGCTATGAGGGAGTGTTTAACTGGTAAGGGTAACAGGGCCATGGCAGGTGCAGCCAAGACCTGAAAGAACTGCACAGCATTCTGGTTTCTCCCACAGTGCAATATTGACACAGCAGTGTACTAAAGGGAGACAGGAACAAGTTACAAGAACCTGCGGTGGCTTGGCAAAGCTGTACCTGAGGATGCTCCAAGGAGACCTTTCCTGAGAGAGCTCTCAGAAGCTGTGATCCCTGTGTCAGACTGGCTCCTTCTGGGCTGTGGTCTTCACTTGACCAAACAGCCAAGACTCAGAGTCCAGGTTGCAAGAATTTCTGATGTGAGGACTGCCCGACAAAGAAAGAGCAGGACTTTTCAGGAGAGAGGTGGTTTTATCTCCTGACAAAAGGTTTCTGCTTGTTCAGGCAAAAGGCTCCTTTGATTTGAACTTATCCAAGCCGTTCTGCAAAAATTGGCATGTGGCTTCCAGGTACAGCACTATGGATGTGCTTCCTGTAGCTTGTAACAACATCTGTATCCGTGCAGTGCATTGCAGTATGGCATCCTCATGCTGTGGATCCTTTTTTTGCTGAGGGAAAAAACCCTCCAGGAGGTGCCAGGCAAGGGGGGTCTGGTCTGGGTTTGATATATGTGGGTCCTGCACTGTGATTACCCTCCCCTTGCCTGGAGCGATGCTGCTGCTTTGGTGTCCTTCAGTACCATTCTCACAAGGAGAGGAAAGGCTGAAAGGCTGAACCTCTTTGGAAGGAACCAGAGAGCATAGTTGCTTCCAATTGTGGCCTGAGCCATTCTTACTGGGGCTAGTTATGCTGTGGGTGTTCTGAAAGATCAAGTTTGACAGTGAACCAGAATGGACATTCCTAGCATTCTTCCAATTTTGCCACCCAGCCTGTTTCAGAAAAAGTCCTGATGGAGGTGTTTGTATCCTGTCTATTTCTTCTCTCACAGTATTTGTCTTTCAAGCCTGGCAGCAGTGGAAGGAAACTTAGCACGTGATGCTGACATTCTGCCATGTCTGTGGGATGGCAGATTATTAAAGTGCTTAAATCTAGCTAAGAGAATAGCTAGGGAAACAGGAGGCAGTGGACCTACCCAAGAATGCAGAAATTCAAACTCCAGTGGATTCAAGGAAGGGCATAGGATTTTGTTCAGAAGCTGAGCTGCTCATATCAGGAAGGTCTCTGCATCCCTCCCTCAGGACTTCCCACCTGTGCTACATCATTTTGTGCTAGTGACACCAAGCTGAGTGGTGCAGTCAACACACCTGAGGGCCAGGATGCCATTCAGAAAGACCTGTACAGGCTCAAGAGGTGGACCCAGGCGAACCTCACGAGGTTCAACAATGTCAAGTGCAAGGTATGCACGTGGTTCGTGGCAACCTTCACTATCAGCACAAACTGTTGGAAGAAAAGGATAGAGCACAGCCTTGCTGAGAAGGACTTGAGGGTACTGGCGGATGGCAAGCTGGACATGAGCCAGAAATGTGCCCTTGCAGCCTAAGAGACCAATTGTATCCTGAGCTGCATCCAAAGCAGCATGGCCAGCAGGTCAGGGAGGTGATCCTGTCAGCTGGAGTACTGCATCCAGAGGGGGGGTCCTCATTACAGGAGAGACAGGAGCCTGTTGGAGTGTATCCAGAGGAGGCCCACCAGAAAGTTCCAAGGGACAGAACACTTCCTCTACAAGGACAGGCTGAGAGAGCTGGGGCTGTGCAGCCTGGAGAAGGAGGGCTCCAGGGAGACCTGAGAGCAACCTTTCAGTATGAAAAGGGGGACTGGAAGAAAGAAGGGGATGGACTCTTTAGCAGGGTCTGTGTCATAAGACAGAGGGAATGGTTTCAAACTAAAGAGGGAAGATTTAGACTGGATAGAAGGAAGAAGTTTTTTACAATAAGGGTGGTGAAGCATTGGCACAGGGTACCCAGAGAGGTGGCATAAGTCCTGGCCTTGCAGACACTGAGGGTCAGGCTGGACAGGGCTCTGAGCACTTGATTAAGCTGTAGATGTCCCTGTTCACTGCACAGGAGTTGGACTAGATGACCTTTGGGGGTCCCTTCCAACTCTAACAACTCTATGATATATATACCTGTGTCTGCAAACTTCACCCGCAATGAATTTCTACTCAGCCGGATTTTCACTTGCCAAGAACCAGATCCTGTTGCTTCAGAAGGACTTCTGAGCAACAAACAACCCATTTCCATCATACCTGTCAGGACAGGAGGCATTTTTTACTATCTGCCACCCTGTGATTTACATGAGAGCACCCCATCTTGGTTGAGCTGCACAGTACTAACTTTAAACAGATTAATAATAATAATACCACCATAATACGTGCCTACACATGCCCTGCAGAAGCCAGCAGCAGTTTAGCCAGTTATAAGCGAAGTCTGTACCTCTGTGTATGCTTGGGGCTGCACAACATTGCCTAGCACTTCAACAACATGGGACTTGGAAAACTAAACTATGAACATCCACTACTGTGCTGAAAATATGCTTTATGCTCAAATTTAATTTAAAAAATATATGTTACTTAGATCCAGGAAATACTGGATTATAGGTTCTCAAAACAAGTAGAAAAAGAAGTCCCTCCTCCCATTGCTATCCAAACTACAATGTATCTGTACAGAAGTAAAGAATAGGGTACTCACTCCTGCCAGTTGCTGAGTCCTTTTCCTTCTTTCTCCTGGGGGAAAGCAGTTTTGAAGATACTCCTTCTCCTTACACGTACAGTCACTGCAGTTCAGGAGAGGGGCAGGGGAACAGGGCTGCAGGGGAACTGCTGTGCTGAATGTCTGTAGTGTAGCCAGCATTAACTGGCTAGAGAATCCTATTACATGATAGGTAGCAAGCCAGGGCCTAATTGATGGAAATTTTGACCTTTGGTCCCCTTTGACATTTTCAGATCAGCCATAGCCTGTGTGAGATATTAAAGCTCTTACAGTAAGGGGCCCTAAATCAGCCTGTGTGGCTGCTGGAGCCAACGAGTGGGTCAGAGGTAAGAATTCACTGAGGTTCGTGTGTGGGCTGCTCAGAGCCTGTTTGACATTTATAAATCAGTGACATTCCTCTGCACAGCTCAGTACATACAAATCACTTCAGTCTCTGTGGGGAGGGCCCCTCATCTCAGTCAAGGGTGGATTTGGGCATCCATGGCCTTTCCTTTTGAGTTGAGCAGAACACGCCTTAACAAACCCAGCTTTATCAGCTGGCAAGGTCACCTACCACCCCAAGCGTGGCTTGTTGTTGGAGATGGAGTGAGGACTCTTTTAGCATCAAAACTGTCTCTGAGGACTCCGTGCCATCTTCAGGGCTTGGTCACAAAAGTCATCATCACTAGATGCCATACCAGACACCCCACACTCTTGTCAGCTGCCATAACAAATGTTGTGCTCATGGACTCTGTTACTAGAGCAGCACAAACAGCCATGATCCTGTTCTGCTCAATGCTGGGCTTGTTAGATGTCAGCAGCTTCCCAGGAAAACCTACATGCTGCAAATAATGCTCCAGGCTGAGAACTATGAGTGGGCCTGCCTGAAATTTCTCACAGTCTGGACTCTGGAGAGAAAACATGATGAGAAAAACGTAACCAGGACTGTGGACAAGGTACCGTTAACATCAGCCAGTTATTGTGCAACAGACATCCATCTTGGCTTCTGTGAACTCGAGCTGTTTAACCACTGCTACTTCTCCAAACTGTGAGGGTTTATATGGCCACCCATCCACCTCAGTGCTGGCACCTTGCTCCTCCTGGGTAACGGTGTGCTGGGCTTTGGGATGCTCTTCTGTCACACTTGCAGTGGCCCAAGCACATGGCAGCCAGGATGGCGAGGCTACTGCCTCTGTGGTTGTGAACCTGCAGCTGTGGAGATGGTCAAAGAAAGAGATGCTCACGTTTTAGGCTGTGCGATACCTAAAGGGCTGCCATGAGGGCACGGCCACCAGAGAGGGGGCTACGGCAGCTGTGTATGCCCTGACACAGCCACTCAGTGCTTGGCCAAAGCCGCCCCGAAATGAAGAGGAATGAAGAGGAACGGCGGCTGTTGGGAAGAGCTCCTCCCTCGTGCCCGCGGGCCTTCACGCTGAGGGAAAAAGCTGCCGGGGTTGCTGATGGGTGGGGGTGAAATTAGTGAGGTAAAAACCTGACAGGAGGGAGGTAACCGTCTGACAGAAGTGAAGGAAAACCCAGGCGTGAGGGATAACTCAGGGTGAGGTCGAATCGCAGCTCCGCGACGGCTGGCGGGCGCCTGGGAACCCTCGCGTCTCTCCGGGGGACGAAGCCCGGCGGGCGAGGACGGCAGGGCGCCGGCAGAGACGCTCTCAGCTTCGGAAGAGCCTGAAAACGTACAGCCGGGCAGAGCCGGGGGCCGAGGAAAGGGGAGGGCGCTCCCCGGCTCCCTCCCACCCTCTCCGGATAAATGTGCCGCCGGGAGGCGGCGGGCGGCCGGCAGCAGCGCGTGGAGCGGCGCGTGGAGCGGCTCGGGGCTCGCGCTCCCGCTCCCCGCCCAGCGCTCTCTGCCGGCGGGGCCGCCGGGTTTTCTCCGCTTCCCGTCCCTTCTGACGGACGCGGGGCCGGGTGAGGGGCGGGCAGCCCAGCGCGGCCGATGCCGGCTCTCCCCGCCTCGCTCGGCTCGGCGCGGGCTGCGGCAGGCCGGTGGCGGCCGTCGGGATTCGGAGCCCCCCCGGGCGCCCTTCCCGTCCCGTCCCTCCGCGGCCGGAGGGTTTTCTCCCGCTGCGGCCGCCTCGCTGCCCCCCAGACATGGTAGGGCACCTCCAGCTGCAAGGGATGGACGAGAGCCTGAAGGAGAAGAGCCGGGAAGGCTTGCTGGACAGCCCGGACTCTGGGCTGCCCCCCAGCCCCAGCCCCCCTTTCTACTCCCTCTCGCCCGGGGGCGGCGCGGACCCCCCGGCCCCGGGGCAGCGGCGAGAGGCCAAGGACGGCAGAGGGGTAAGAGCAGAAGCGATGGTGGGAGAGGGGGGAGAGGGATTTAAAGGACGGTGGAACTTCACCCCAGGGGCCTTTCGGGTTTCTTTGACGTATCAAAGACGTTTGGAAGTGTATTGCACACAGCTAATTGGCTTCCATGCAGAATAAAAGCTGTCAGCAGCACTGAGATTGCCGTGGAGAAAGTTCATCTACCTGTGCGATGGTGGCTGTTCACGCTTCTTCCCAGCAGAGACGCTTTGCAATGACTTACCCCGCCCTCATTTTCTTTCTCAAGTTCTAAGGCTATTTTTGCGTATTAATCACAACTGCCTTCTGCTGTCAGGTAATGCCAGATCCATCCCCAAGAGCAACATCTCAGCGCAGTACGGTGGGGAGGGTGTGAGATGTTAAATAGGGAAATCAAATCCGAAGCCCACTAACAACCTCTCACCACTACACAGCCCTACCTGCAGGCGTGCCGTCTGATGGACCGTGTGCTCAGTTGCCCACGTTGCTCTGGTTTGGTGGGGTCAGGCTCTTGCTACATGTCTGTAAAATAAAATGTGGGAGGAAAATGAATGAACGCTTGCTGGGTCAGAAAGCAGCTGGAGTGGAGGTGTCTGCAGAGGTCAGCAATGGGGTGTGATGGCCTCCATTGCAGCCATCGTGACAGCCAGCCACCACTGCTCTCAAGAAAGCCCTTAGGTATTGGAGATGAAAGAGGGTAAGAAAAAACTGTTCTAGCTCTTGGTCTGGTCTGATAGGACTGAGAGTTTTAGTGCTCCTGCAGGGGGAAAAAGTTATTCCAACCATCTAAATAAAGCAAAATTGCATTTACAAATTATTTTTCTTTCTTTGAACACAAATGAACATTTCAAACATCTCCGAGGAACAGCTTAGATTTTTTTTTTCTGATTTTTATACCCTACTTCAGCAGTATGGGCAGCCCCGTGCTCCTGCTGTTGGCAGATGGGTGCCATGTACTGCAGATGTTTCTGTACATTTAGTAGGTACAGAAGACTAAAAGATACTGATACAAAAACTAATTAGACTGCTTTAATTGGAGTGGTGCAGGACTGTACTCTCTAACTCTGCTTGTTTGGTATATGGAACTGGCAGGAATTTTCACTTGACTGCACAGAGTTTCACATCTAATTTCCAACATTCTACTTGCAGCTGTTAAGAAAATGGGAGAAATACGGGGAGCATTTCAGTGTCTAATTAGCTTTAACCTTACCATTTAACAAGGACTTCCAGATCTATAAGCAATTACACAATCCATGAATGTGTTTAACTCCGCTACTCTGCTGTTCATCAGAGCATGCAGAATTGGCAAATCAATAATTGCAGCTATTTGCACACCGACGCACGGGTTTTTTCAGTCGCTTATTACATTAGTCTTCGTTTTGCTTACAGATGCGACAGAACCAGGAATGCAGTCTGCATTCTTTGTGGTATAATACTATAAAACCACATATAAGCTCAGTTACTAATGGCCAACGTTTTAGTATGTACAGTTACAATAAATTGCTGTCAGGTGAAGAAAACAGCATTCCAGATCTGTGGGAAGGATTTCATACTGCTCCTTGCTGCAGACCTATCAAAACCACCAGGCTGAACCCAGTTGCGTTCTTTTGCAGTCGGCTGTTTTGCTCTAACTCCACAAATATGTTGAAGGATTTTTCTGAGAGCTCTTCTCTTGCAGACTGAAGGAGACTGCATGCTCGTATCGAAGACTTCCTTGTGTGTAAAATCCATGCTCTCCCTGCTTTGTGTCATTAACTGTGACTCTGAAAAAGTAAACTCCTTTCTCTTTAATAAGTGTGACTTTGTTTCAAAGACAATGCACCATTTATTCCCATTTAACCAGCCAATTTGGCTACAGCTTTAGGATCCAAGAAAATATGAAAGGCAATTGGGGCCAGAGTCATAAATACCACAAGTTCAACACCATTTAGGGACCTTTTTTTTTTCTTTTTCTTCTCCTTGCATTTTACTTGCAGTGCAGGAGAAATTAGCTTTTACTTATTCAAATAAAACTCACATAGGGAATTTGTTAATTGCTTTCTGCTGAAATGCAAATATCCTAAAGAAAATAGAAGGTGACTCTTACCTAGTTCTGCCCTTTAAATCTGAAACATGATTAAATTTCTTCTTAAGACTGAATTCCCTAGGCTTTGCTTGTAATGCTGGGCCAAAAGGAACATACATACAATGAAATAAATCTCTAATAATGCACACAAAGAAGCAATTGCTGGAAGGGCAGGGAATGAAATCACATCAAGGTAGCCAGATCTGCTTAGAGTTTTCCCTGTTGTTGCCCGTGTGCATAGTTTTAGGCCAGAAGGAGTGAATGTGAGCTCTTGCAAACACTGCACTGAAATAGTGCTTAGCATCCACTAGTATTGCTCCTCGAGGGTCTGAGGGGAGATCAGGACCACGTTCTTCTGCAGACCCATCCATCACGACTTCTTGAGGCAGCATACTTCTTGTCTTCTCCCACTGCTGTTGCCTCTGCAACAAGTTCAGTTTTATTTGAAAAACTAAACATTTATGAATTCAACTTGCCTCGCTGAGCGCTGATCCCAGTGGATGGGCTGTCAGATGGGAATTCTGATTTACACTGTTGACAGCAGTGCAGAATTGGGGTCGGTCCTATGGGAGGAGATTCTAGCTTCATCTTTAGCACTGTGCAGGAGTGTTCTTTGCCCTTTAGTGTAGACTTGATGGGTACAGTTCCATCAATGGAGTCCAGGTTAGCTTGCATGCCTTCTTCCTGAACTGCCACATATTGAAGAACTCTTGGGGCCAAAGAGCCTGCATTTTGTTCTACACTGAAAGCTTCAGGAAAGGGGGCTGTCTTCTG